TTATGTAACGACCGATAATTTATATTTATATTTAATATATATATATATATATATATAATTTAGGCTTCAGATTGCTTGAGTTGTTTGATATCTTTACCCAACCCTGCCCAAATTTAATTTGAGATTTTGAATTTTTGTCCAAACTCGTACCGAATTTAAAAATATCTTGTCCAAACCCAAAAAAAATTTGGACTAGGCTTGGATTGCTCAGAACCTGTCCAAGTTCCACCCCTATCTTACGGTAAAAGATCAAATAATGACTATTTATACCAGAACAAATGATTATCTTGATCCATTAAAAATTGGACAAATAAGAAATTTCTTGTTGAGTTACATGCTTAAAAAATAATAAACCTCAGTTCCACGAAATTCGTCAATTTTAATGCGTGCCAATTATAAACACTGTAAAAGACTTAGACTATTCAACAAAACATCATTGGTTATTCATAAGAAAAATTGACGAAATCCAATAGTTAGCTCAAAATTCATCGAAATGGAGTCAATCAAAATAAATATTATATTTAAATATTTTATATTTTAATTCTTTAAGCATAGAAGATAAATGATCAATACAAGAAAACAGAAAAATTCCAACAAAAAAAAAAAAAATCTAAAGTTCGACTCTTGTAATAAAATAAATCATGAATTTTAATTTTATAAATCATAAACTTTTGATGTTTGTTTATTTTTATTAAGCAAACTGACAAAAAAAATAAATAAATTGTAATCATCAAATTCAATACAGATATATATAAAATGTCTAAAATACTTTTTATTTTATTTTATTGAGTTTAGTAACTAAAATATCATTTTTTTATGTTAGTTATACTTAACCAAAATAGTCAAATAGTTTAGATTAAAAATAAATCAAAAGTTTAAGATTTCAATTGACAAAATTAAAAACTTAAATTTTATTTTATTATAATGGACAATACCTGATTTTCTGTTGTAATTTCCCTTATATTTTTTGTGATAAAAACTAGGGTTGGAAATTTTATATAACAACTTTCAAACTTTTTCTTCCGTTAAATGCTTTAAAATATCATGTAAATTCCTCCTTTCTACCAAATTGAAAAAACTGATAAAACTAAATCGTTACTTACCATTTGTGTCGATTCTTTAACCATCAAAGCTAAAAAATCAGATTTGATGCTAACTGTGTGAGTGATTTTCCGACCACACTGCCCGCTTAGTAACCAGCTGGAGAGCACTGGCAGAATAGATGGCACCTGACTGACCTGTAACAGAAATATAAGAATCCCGTGGTGGTTTCGACCACCTGGGGGCACTCCGACGATCAAGTCAGTATATCTCTCAAAGATAAATCAAGTACTAAACTCACAAGCTTGAGTATCAAAAGCCTACCTTAGACCCATGGGGGTGCCTCTCTTTTATAGTCAATACAATCCTAGTCCCAATAGGAGCCTGGCCCTAATGGACTTAGGATTACTGCTAATCTGGGACTCCCAGTGGGATTAGGATAAACTCTCTCAGAGTTTTATCTTTACCCAAACTAAAGTCTTCTCCCAATCTAGGACTCTTGTCCATATCCAAGTTGAGTTCTCTCTTCATTCTAGGACTCTTGTCCCTTATCCGCTTATCTCGGTTTCCGATATCTTCGGAGGCAACCTCGGCCTAGCTGAGATAACCTCGGCACAACGACCAAGACATGTGGCACCTCGGCTGACACGTCGGTGTCACCTTGCCACGTGTTGGTACTCAGAAAATATATCCCCACACTAACTTTCTCTCAATACTGACTGAATCGAACCGTTTAAACCCCTATACTCCATGGTTTAAAGGATTTCAGGTCATGGCTCTTCAAGTAAGAAAAATCTACTAACCAAATAAATTTATAGAAATTAAAAGATGAAAAAGAAAGGACCGATGGTACTACTAGAGGTCTTTATTTTTTTTTACTATTTTTATTTATATTTTATGGTTGAAATGAATAACTAACAACAATTATAGAACTAGGGCTACTAAATAAGTCGAATAATAAATTATTTAAATTTAATAAATTTTAAAATGTATTAATTGAAAAAGAAAGTTACCAAATCAAAATATGTCTTACTTATTTTATTTATTTATTTATTATTGGTATATCTCACTTAAGGGAGATTAGTAGGAATCCAACCCTTTGGACCAGAGATCTTCAATTTCATGTCTAGTACAGGGAAAACGAAGGGTTTGATGGGTTGATATGAGTATCGATATTTTATTTATCTATTTATTAGTTATTATTATTATTATTATATATATATATATATACATATTATATTAAAAGTGTCAGCACGCATTGTGTGTAAAATTTAAATTAATTATGACAAATATTTGCAGTTAAGATTGAGAAATATGACAGTTATGTATAGGATTATTTTAAATGTACAAAAATCATGACAAAACTTCTTTTGAATTGTGTTTTTATGTAGAAGTATAGACGTGGCATATTCAATAAATAAATAATTGCACACTAGAAGACTAAAATGGCAATTTCAGAAGTTGGCATTATTTCAAGGGTTGTCTGTTTCAAGTAATATTTCCACAATGTAGGGCAATGACAAAAGTAGGGGTGGACAAGTATTCATTAGTTTCTTCAAAATTGATTGGCTCGAATCAATTTGTCACAAAATAGATGATTTTAATGATTCAAGTAGATAGATACGATTGTATGTTTTTCAATCCATCTAAATAGGGACGGAATGAGGATTTTATCATCAAAGGGACTAAAAGACGAATAAAATTGTTTCATCACATATACAAACATATAAGTATATATAATATGATATATAAATTATATATACATAGAAAAAAATTAAACACCATAGAAGCAATCTCTAGTAAGAAGAAGAAGTTTTTTTAGTACAAAATAGAAAGAGAACCCAAAATGAGATAAAAATGATATATATATATATCTTTGGGAAAATTAGTGAAATTTTTCCAACTTTGTATAGTAGGAGAGGTCTAAAATATTTTTTTATTAGATAAGGTCCCTCAACATTTTCACAAAAAAAAATTCAATTCAGAGAAATTTTGTCCAACTCAAACAAAATTTCATCCGACTCAAAGAAATTTCAAAATTTCTTTGGTATGATCATAGAGAAATTTTAAAATTTCTCTGCGAAATCAAAGAAATTTCACTCGACTCAGAGAAATTTTGAAGTTTCTCTAGTATGATCACAAAGAAATTTCGAAATTTTCTTTGTGAAATCAAATAAATTTCTTTGTGAAAATTGAAATTTCCTGAGTTGGGGTAAAATTTCTCTGAGTCAAATTTTCTCTATAAAAATATTGAGGGACCTTAACTACTACGAAAATATTGTATGACATTTATCTTATAAAATCTTAATATCAGGAACCTTAAAAAAAATTCTCTTATATCTTTTATGCTTGGGACATTTTATATATGAAATGATATATACATTTTAAATGTTATGACAAATAGTATTTTTCACAAAATAGGAGGGCCATGGCCCCCTATAGTCTTCTCATAGTTTCGTTGCTGCATGTAATTTTAAACGGATAGAGAATGAGAGGCCACCGGAACCAACTTGATTTGCTAATGCTCCTAAGAAAATGAAGTTTATGTTTTGTGTGTTAAAAAAAGACCTTTTATTTACAAATTAGATTTTAACTATTATGAAATATGAAAGTTAAGTCTTTATTTTTATTATAAAAAGTGGACAATAAAAAGTTTTGGACATAAAATAGTAAAATATTACTAAAAAATAGTTAAAAAGCCGAAAATAGTAAAATTCGAACCGTCAAATCAATCCGTATTCACCCGCATGGCCTGCTGAATTTGCATTCGCTAACTAAGAAGACCCATATAACCCGCTCAATCAACATCCATTAATAAAGAAGATAGGCCGATTGATTTTTTCAATCTGCTTAAATTCAAACGAATGGTTGTTGAAAGGCCATCCGATTCAACTTAATCTACGAGCACCGTAGTTCAAAATATGTCTTCTCATTATAATTGGATTCATTACATAGCTTTAAGAGAATAACATATGGAAAAAAATAAAATCCTTTGCCAAAAATTTATGTGTTTGGGTCCTACTGCTTCATAGTTGATGTCATTTTTTTATTTTTTTGAAATTTTGGAACTACAAGTCCAAATTTTTTTTTCCCCATTTACCCTTGTGTGATCAAATCATGATGTTCGTGGCAACCTTATAACCTGGAACCCTAGAGTTGTAGATTCCAAAAGGGATTGGATTTGGAATATTTAATTAGACGGTCAAATCCGGCCCCACTTCAGGTCTTTTTATGATCCAAACAATTTAACTTAAATTTTGAGACATAAAATGAATTTCAACCATTTTTTTTTGGGTTTTTTCTGCAGTTTTTTAGGGTAAATTTTATGCGTACCTAACAAGATTACAAAAAAATTTGATTATTTTGCTCATTTTGAAAATTTGGAGAAATTCTATTTTCATACATTTGTTTATCTTAATACACATTATTTTTCAATGCACATACTTATTAATTTGATTATTAATTATTCTTCTCAATTCACACATTAAATATTTCAATTATACCCTCTTATACCATTGTACACACACCCTTTTGGATTTCCAAACCTTCCACGCTATTTCACAAAGAATGGTGGTGATGACAAGCGGATTAAATATGCCGGCAATCTATCAATCTATAGGAAGTAAATTAACTGCTGCTTCTTTCTTGAACCTCCTTCTGTATACAAATCATTCCATTGCATCAGTTCACTCGTTATACATCCCTCAGTAACCAAACTTGCAGCAACCTGCATCGATGAAAACGCTTTTTTGAGCATTCAAATATATAAATATATTTATGGAAAATATTAGATTCAAAGATCTCAACTCTCTGCCATAGTTCACAGATATATCAACTTATATTGAGGTTATATATATTGTACTCTAATTTAGAGCTTCCACAGTTCATTAGAGGTGTACTAAAAGGGGGAAATCTAAAACCAAAATGAAAACGAACAAGTGAAGAAGAGCTGATAATACATGGAGATTGAGAGTATTACTTTGCAACTAAGTGAGAAACAATGGAACAAGTAAGGAACAATAGATAAATTAGGATTTTTTTGTTGTTCAAATTGTGAAATTAAATAAATAGATTTATGAAGAAATCAAACTATATACCAAGAACATATGTTAATAATTACAATTAAATTTCAATAGAAATACACAAAACAATAAAAGTGTAAAGAGACGAAACCGAAGCCTGCACAGAAGCAGTTTCCTTAAAACAAATTTCGCCGCCTCACGGGTCGAGTGCTTGAGGAATCCCGGCATCTGTCTCCCAGGATACGACGGTCAAAACCAGTTACGGCAGAAGCACTTTCTGTCTAGCTTAGCGAACAAGAACAGTGGCAGCACTCTCTCAATGTAGGAACTTTCTGGCAAACTGACTTGTAAAATGGAAACAAAAAATTTCTACATTGAAACTTGATAGGAATGTCTCAATTTATACATGTAAAGGGGAGAGAAGAAGAGCCTCCAGCCTTTAAGGCTGGTCATTAAAACACCAAGCATCCATAGTCCCTTTCCAAAATATGAAAGTTTGGATGCCCAAAGGATTCACACCCTTTAGCCAAGAAAAAAAGATTTAAATACTCTTTAAAATCTTATTCATGAATCTAACATCATGAGGCAATTTCTTGACAATTTCTTATTCAAAACCCAATGATTTTTGGCTCACTTGGACCTAACACAATAAAAGGTTGGGACCCACTTTAATATTTAATTAAAGTCACCACACTTTAATATTAAACTAAAGTCACCAAAAATCATTTTTTTCAACATTTTTTTCTTTCTAAAATGATGTGCACTTGAGATTTTTTTTCTTTTAAAAAGGTATGTATAGAGAAAATTGAAATATAATATTAAAGGTGTATTTTGATGTCTATTATAGTCATTTTACTTTAGGGTATGATTGTCATTAAAATAAAATTTGATTAAGGGTGTGCATTGAGGTAAGTAAGTGTATGGAAATAGAATTTTTCGAAAATTTGATCTTTGGGACGCTAGGTATAATCGAAAAATAAAGTCAAAAGCACCCCTCTATCAATTTTTAGACAATTAGTTATATTTAGCTTATTCAAGTTATTTTCGTCTAAGAAATTATAAATAAAAGTTGCACTATTTGCATAGACTCCCTAAATAAAATAAAAATAAAAATTATAAGCGGCTCTACCAAACAACCCGTTATGTGGTGGCCTAGTGTTGCAATGCTTGGAGTTGGAGCACGAGGGAGGACTGGGCATCAAATTTGTGCCATGCCTACCATCTGTTATGTAGAGGTCAGTATATTGATTGCTTTGGTGTAGTTTTTGGGATTTTTACATATGTGTTGTTGGGTGTTTTGTGGGGTTGTGGTGTGGTGCATATGATTGTTGTTATATTCTGCTTCATTTTCTTCTAATACAAGTCGTTTCTTTGCTGATCAAATCAAACAAAAAAAAAAGAAGAAAGAAACACTGGTCTGTGTAATTTATAACTACTCGTATGTCATTTGTCCTTGTTATGAACATTAGAGTGCATTAATCTCTACATGTGGAAATCCAGGTTGTCGATTTGATGCAATGAGTAAGATGTGAATATAGTCCAAATTAGCATTAAATTATTTCAATTCCAAGTCCTTTTAATTGACTTCCTAGTCCAAATGAAAGGTAGTAGGTTAGTAACCATAGAAAAGTCCAACTAAAGACTTATTGTGCTGGAAGAGTTCTTGAGTTTTCATTTATTGAAACAGATGAATTTCATGAATTAGACATTAGACTATCAATGGAAGGCCTCAAAATACCTTTCTTGTTTCCCTCTTTATTTTCCATCTTAATTATCTCTGACGCAGTAGACACCATAACCAAAACCCAACCCATTACAGGCCGCAATACCATTGTTTCATCTGGTGGAAGCTTTCAGATGGGTTTTTTTCAGCCCTGGCGATTCCCAGAATACATACGTGGGAATATGGTACAAGAAAATTTCTATTAGGACCGCTGTATGGGTTGCCAACAGAGAAATTCGACTTGTCAATTCGTCAAGCATCTTAACAGTAATCGACCCTGGAATTCTTGCCCTTGTCAATGGTACCGACAGTGTCATTTGGTCTCCCAATGTGACAGGATCCACACAGGACCCTGTTGCACAACTTATGAAGTCAGGAAATCTTGTTGTGAAAGATGCGAATGATAATAATTTGTGGCAAAGCTTTGATTATCCATGTGATACTCTTTTACCAGGCATGAAACTTGGTAAGAACTTTGTAACGGGCCTTGAGTTTCACCTCTTTTCCTAGAAGAGCAGCGATGATCCAGCTCGAGGTGAGTTTACATACCGGTGTGATCCTCAAGGATACCCACAAAACATTCTGAGTAATGGTCCTGTTGAGCTATTTCGAACTGGGCCATGGAATGGTCTCAAATTCGGTGGGAATCCAAACCTTAAACCAAACTCCATCTACACATATGGATTGGTTTATACCAAAGAGGAGGTGTATTATGGTTATGAACTCATCAGTTCAGTTGTTTCAAGGTTTTCTCTACATTATACTGGTGTTATGCAACGCTTTACATGGATTGATCGAACGCAGGAATGGGTCCTTTACCTGACTGCACCAATCGATAACTGTGATAATTATAATCTATGTGGTCCAAATGGTAAATGTAATGTTGAAAACTCGCCAGTATGTGGCTGTTTGAATAAATTTGTGCCCCAAAACCAAATAGAATGGGGAAATGGAGATTGGTCTAGTGGGTGTGTTCGGAGGACAACATTGGATTACCATAATGGAGATGGGTTTCTGAAGTATTCACAATATAAGATGCCAGACACACAGAACTCCTGGTTTGACAAGAGCATGACCCTAAGGGAATGTGAGATGATGTGCTTGAAAAACTGCTCTTGTATGGCTTACGCAAATTTAGATATAACAGGAGGTGGAAGTGGTTACTTGCTTTGGTTTTAGGAGTTGATTGATATGAAAGAGTACAGTGAAAATGGGCAAGATATTTACATAAGGATGGCTTCCTCTGAGATGGGTATGAATTCATACCAAACACAGATTAATTAGATTATATTATACATATGTAATAATCATGGTTAAATATGTTGAACACTTACATTTCTTCCTCAAAAAATTCCTCTATATTAATTTCTACATCTAACTACAGTTTAGCAAAAAGAAGTGTCCATTATGGTTTTTATCTTGGACTTTGATTTCTGTTGTCGATGTGTCTCGAATTCAATCCAAATGATGCTTATTACCCATCCTCAGCCTGCATGGATCGATCTTATAGGTCCAACTTGCTATTTGTATTTGTGTCTATTTTGACGTGATTGGATTATTTCAAGGTTCTAGGATTATCTTGTGAACTTCTGTAAGAGAAAGAGAGAGAGAGAGAGAGAGAGAGAGAGACTTTACATTGAATGTAAAACTCCTCCGTCATTTTTCGCCCGTAGACAAGCTTATAGGCGAACTATGTAAATCTTTGTGTGGTTATGTTTTTGTACTTTACATTGAAGGTAAAACTGCTCTGTCATTTTTCGCCCATAGACAGGTTTATAGGTGAACTACGTAAATCCTTGTGTGGTTATGTTTTTGTTCTGTTTTAACTTTTCTCATCACCTTTTCCATAACAACTTCAATATATAGGAAATGTTCAAAGGTTTGGAATCTAAAGTCTAGTTTCATAGGGAAAAAAAAAATTCATTTAAGTTTATTCTTTCATGGTTGTATTATCTAACTGACTGGACCATTTCTGTTAATGGATTGATGATTCAAACAAGTTGGCATCAAAGGCAAGAAAAGGGAGATAGTGGCAGTGACATTGGCATTGTTAATTGGACTTCTTCTGCTAGGCATTAGAGTAACCTTGTATCTCCAAAAAAAGAAAAGGAAGAATTCACAGCTGAACAAAAAAGGTATATATCCCATGTGTCATTCTGTTGTAAAGTCTGTAATGGTATGTTACTAGTTGGAACTAGTTGTCGCATTGTGTTTACATCCATTTCATCCCCGCTTTGCAGGAAATCCGATGAACAACCTTGAACAAGGTTGCACTGACAAAAGCTAGAAGGAAGATCTAGAGTTGCCATTGTTTAACTTAGCTGTAATAGCTAATTCCACAAGTGACTTTTCAATCAACAGTAAGCTTGGAAAGGGTGGTTTCGGACCTGTTTACAAGGTAACCATGTAAAGACACTCTTATGTAGTCAAGGAGCCCATGTAGAAGCCATAAAACCATTCAAAAATTTTATCACTGCTTTTTGTAAGGCTACAAATACTTTTTTTTCACCGAAAAGTGCATAGAATGTTATGCTGCAACAGGCTGCATCACTACATTCATTTCTGTGTATGGGCCCACAAATTTTGTGTTCCTATATGTACTGTTTGATAAAACCTTTCAATAGCGAACTCACCATTCTGAATGTAAAATTTTGATAAATACAACTACTTTAGAATTTTATTTTTGAGTTTGTTGTAATGAAAAATGATTGAGACTAAGCTTTTGCTTAGGAGCGGTGGGAATGCAAGGTAATCTTATTTAAAATCTTATAGAGAAGCTCTAACTTCGTAAATCCTCTCTATCTGTCCACTCTCCACATTCACCCAAACATAGTAAAACATTCATTGTCCTCTCCTTATTACATGACTAAGTTGTTATTATCGGTTGCAATATTTTTTTCTTTCAGTTTCTAGAAAAGACAATTGGCTTGATGCATCTTTTCTCACATATGAAACTTCATAAATCTGTGTAATTATGTCTTTTGAGTATGTGTTTGGTATTGTTGTAAAATAAATCACTGGTCATAATTGCACATGTTGGAAGTTGGAACGATGTCAGCCAGAGCAACATATTAAAAATTCTAACAATCATAATGGTAATTCTCAGGGTATGTTGGAAGGAGGACAAAAAATAGCTGTGAAGCGGCTATCAAAGAATTCTAACCAAGGACTTGACGAGTTGAAGAATGAAGTTATTTGTATTGCCAAACTTCAGCACTGAAATCTGGTGAAGCTTCTAGGATGCTGCATTCAAGGAGAAGAAAAGATGTTGATCTATGAATACATGTCCAACAAAAGCTTGGACTACTTTATTTTCGGTTCGGCTCTCTTGAAACTATAATACCATACCACAACTATTTTCGGTTTGGCTCTCTTTTGATTTATTTGATTATAGGAACAAAATTATATGTAGTTTGTATTACATGTACATTTGCATGAACTTGGGTCTTCCAAAATTTGGAATTTTCCATTGAGGAATCCTATTAAATTCATGCATCTGATTAGCAGGAGCATGGACTAAATCAGACAAAATTTGGACAAATCAAACCCGAAGCACATTATTGGATTGGCCAAAGCACTTCCATATTATTAATGGGATTTCCCGGGGCCTTTTTTATCTTCATCAAGATTCCAGGCAGAGAATTATTCACAGAGATCTCAAAGCAAGCAATATTTTGCTAGATATTGACATGAACCCAAAAATATCAGACTTTGGAATAGCTAGAAGTTTTTGGAGAAATGAGACAAAAGCAAATACAAACAAAGTGGTTGGAACATAGTAAGAATCTATACAACATGTTTTGTCTATTGTTTCCAAATTTAGTTCTTCATTCAACTCTTTTCTGCAGCGGCTACATGTCTCCAGAGTATGCAGTGGATGGGTTGTTTTCAGTAAAATCAAATGTATTCAGCTTTGGTGTTTTGGTGCTAAAGATCGTAAGTGGGAAGAAAAACAGAGGTTTCTATCATCCAGATCACCACGTCAACCTTTTTGGCCATGTAAGCATACTGAGTTTAAAAGTATTCTTATATTTTATCTTAAATCCCGCTCTCTCCTATTCCAAAACATTCACAACTGTGCAATTGTGTGAGAATCTATTCAGGCATGGAGACTCTACAAAGAAGGTAGGTCATTGGAATTGATTGATGAGGCTCTGTGGGACTCATGCTACCTAAGTGAAGTGTTGCGATCAATCCATGCCGGTCTTTTATGTGTGCAACAATCTCCAAAGGATAGACCAAGCATGTCATCTGTGGTTCTGATGTTGGGTGGTGAAGGTACATTACCTTAGGCCAAACAACCTGGCTTCTTCACCGTGAAGAATGTTCTTGAGGCTGCTGGTTCATCAAGCAAGGAAGCAACAGGTTCAGTCAACGAAATCACCATTTCTCTGTTGAATGCTCGATAGAAACACACACTCTATTAATGCAAATTATATGCCCCACAACCTGTTTTAAAAAAATGAAAATCTTCACCGTTGTAAAAGACTAGAGCATTTCTTTTCATCTACTGGGTTAAGTTTTATAACCCAGCTCCTTTTTTTGGAGTTCAGGTTCTTTTAGTTAAATTTGATACCATGTACAAATTGAAAGCTTAATAAATGTTTCTTGTTACAACATGTTCATATGCACATAATTAAATTAGAGAAGCATGAAGAATATACATATATATTGACATGATGAGACCTAACTATGGTATCTCCATTCTTTAGTATTCTCATTGTATTCACTATTTGTTTTAGCAGAAAATATTTTCTTATATTTGGTTGTAACTTGAAACTAATATACTAGTGGGAGTGTGGTGGCGTTGGCAACGTTTTAATCTAAAAAACATTTTTCATGTTTCAAAAGTGAAAAATATTTTCTATCAAAGTAAGTTTGTTTTTTTGTTGATTATAAAAAATATTTTTTCTTGACTTTCATTAAAATATTTCCAGTTGAAACAAAGAGAGATGCACTCCACTGTTATAACATACTCTTTTTTGTATAGAACACTCACAAAGGTTGGTTCTCACCATGAGATCTTAGAATACTCACAAGGTTGGTTGGGTTTTCAAATAAACAAGTGGAATTTGTAAATCGATTTGGACCAATTCAAAATGAATGATTTCGTTCCATGTTTTTAGAGGACGTTTAGGTTCTAGTTCTAAATAATTAAGTCATTAATTATATGGTTTGATTCATGTACTAAAGATTCAAAAGAATCGAATAGAAACAAAATGAACCATTCAATATTTATAACATTTTTACACTTGTTATATTATTGAAAATTGCATATATGATGGTATATAATATGAATAATTTGATGTGCCTGTACATATTCTATAAAAGTTAAGTTGCAGAATATTATAATTTTTTTGAGTATGATTGTCTATTTTTTAGAGTACTTTTATAGGTAGTATCATTTTCATTTTTATTTTATTTTTTTCTTGAATTGAATTTTTTAAGCCTAAAACTAACCAAATCTTTTTTTTGCGGAAGTTTGATTAATTTGCATTGAGTTATCATCATTGTACAACCTCCAACATAATTCCGTATTGAATAAGAAAATGATATACAAGTCCATTTTTTGGACCCATTTTCTAGACTTGAAGATAAATAAGTGATATGATTGGTTGATGATTGAGAAGATAAGAGAGAGAGTGTGTTATCTTAGATATCCTAATTAATTGACACATCATTGAGCTTGAAAATTAGGTCTAATTTTTGGACTTGTATAGCAATGATTTTTGGCTGGTTGGTAGCTTTTCATCCTCTGCTGGTAGCTGTCTGGATGCTCCAGCAGAGGGCTTTATTTTGCTTTTGGCTGGGTCTAGTATTCCTATCTGTTGGATTTGGTTGTATTTTTGGTTTGTATTTTCGGCTTGTCTTAGGTTTGGTTGTATTTTTGGTGTGGGTTTGTTGTTGTTGTTTGTGGTTGATTTCTCACCAACTCACCATCTTTGGCGGTGTGCTAGCATATGATTGGGCGTTCTCAACAGTGCCAACCTAGTTGGGATTGTTTTGATCCGCTATGATGCTCTTTGCACCCCCTTCCTCGTCTTCTTTAGTGATGTATTTCTTTATTCGTTTTCATCAATAATAGTTCCTTTTTCTTCGTTGATCAAAAAAAAAAATGATCAAAAAAATATTATTATATTAAAATTTGAATTTGTGTCAAAGATGTGAGTTATATATAATAAAATATTTTTATGTCTCTTGACTGTTAATGTGTCATTTTCTGTCTAATTTTTTTGCATAAGTTAGTCTCAGGGACAAATTAAGAAAAACATAAAACATGAAGGGCCAAAGTGGAAAAAAAAAACTTTAAGGGCCAAAGTGAAAAAATAGTCATACATAAAAGGAACAAGGCTTATTTTGGAAAGTATGTTAAAAGCTAACTTTTTGACTTTTTTTTAAATAATGTCCAAAAAAGTAAAAAGATGATATGATTCAAAAAAATCAATAAACTAGCTTTTAACCTCGCTGTCCATCCCCTTCAATAGTCCCAGTTCTATATTTGTCGTTAGTATTCATTTCAAAAATATAAAATATATAGAAATAGTACAAAAATTGAAATCCTCTAAATGATACTATTGATCCTTTCTTTTTCATCTTTAAATTTCCTTAAATTTGTTCCTTAGGTTGATTTTTCTAATCGATGACCCAAGAGTTCGAATCTTATAAACCATGGAGTACTAATCTTATAAACTATGGAGTACTAATGTTGAATAGTCTACTATTGTACAATGATTAATTGGAATCATAAGCACACCATTAACATTTCATTTATTTTGACGATTTAAAAAATAAAAAACAAAATATTTTTCTTAAATTTTGACAATTAAAATTTGTACAAGAGGTTAATTGATAATGATAAGTCAAAACAAGCTATGATGCAAATACATAGGCCATATTAATAATCGATACAATGTAATTAGGATAAGTATAAAATAAAATACAAATATAAATAGAATATAAACATTTACTATGTTTCTCTCAAAATAAGATTACGAGATACAATATAAGACAAAAAAATGCAACCCTTCAATTATAAATATATAGTATAGAAGTAATGTGGGAGAACTGTGAAATACCAAAAATATGCTTAGCGGTTACCATTTCGTCTTTGCACGGATCAATATTACCCAACAACTCACTCTTATACGATATAGTATTTATGGCAACACTTCTAGATTAGTGTTAGATAACATTGTTAATTTTTTTATTTTTTGTAAACTTGAAACAAAAAGCACAAAAACTTTGAAATGCTCATTAATTGAGAGACGTCACCTATTAATTACAAGTTTTAAATTTTTCTTGATGATTTTTAATTTAAACTCTTACAACTAATCCCGATGAGTTTTTATTTTTTAAAAGTTTTTCATGATAATAACATTATCAATAGGATAGAAAAAACATCTCTATACAACCAAGTCATTATTCATCCATCCAGTACTCACTTATTTAGGTCAAGTTTGAGAAGACTAAATAAATGCATTTTTTGACTTTTTTTGTATTATGTGTAAAAAAAGTAGAGAGGAGATGTTGATTGATGTGATCCAAAAAAGATAAAAAGATGAAATAAATACACTTTTTTAGGTTAGCCAAACTTGACCTTAGTTTCACACTTAATCACAATATTCATAGTTAAAAATATCTTAATGAAAACTTCTAATCCCAGCACAAATCATAACAAATCAAAATCTTTAAATTCAATACGTCAAAACACACTATCACTTTTAGCACAAATCACCCCAAAATTAATATCCCTAAAAAATGAGGGGATGCATTGTTTCAGTCCATGATGTTGTATGCCATAAAATGATACATTATAATAAAGAAAAAAATTATAAAAATAAAAAATGAGAGGAACACGTAACCCACTGATGTCTTGTTAAATTCACCGATGTCCACGTGTCCAATTAAACTGTCCATATAAGCTGATCCAAATATAAAAGGCCATAAACAACAATATTCAATAGAACACTGCTATACAAAGTTGGATCTAATTGTCAAGTTTAATGATATATTATTAATCAATTAAGATATTTTAAATAACATTCTTTCTTATATCTTTTCAATCATTATATCACTTACACATTTTTTATATCATGTGACAACTAACATTGTATTTTCTGTCTAATGTTGAACATAATTAAGTCCTAGAGTTTACTAATCAAACTTTAACTTTAATATATTTGTGCAGAATTATTGTGCTTTTATTGATCAAATTTTAACTTTAACTAATCAAACTTTAACTTTAACTCAATTTACTCCTAAGACTAACTTTAACTTTAACTAATCAAACTTTAACTTGAACAGAATTATTATTATTATTATTATTATTATTATTATTATTATATGTTTTGAATATATTAATTTCTGCACTTCAAACAAGTTTTCTGCTTTTGTTTTTTATTTTTAAAAATACTTCTTGTTTCACGTTTACAAAAATAAAATAAAATAACTAACAATGTCATCAAATACTAATCTAAATGTGTTTCCATAAAAGCTATATTATATAAGAATGATCTTTCAAGTAGTGTGGATCCTCTTAAACACTAAACACTAAATGACCGTTTGGTAGAGCGGTGGGAAAGTGATTATAATTTATAGCCTAACAGCTTATAACTTATAGCTGTGAACATATGCTGATTTTTTACTTATAAATTAAGCTTCTCCTCACCCACTCAAAGAATAAGTTACTTTTTGACTTACAAAAAACTATGAGCTGTATTGTTAAGCTGAACCAAACACATCAAAATAGCTTAGATTAAACTAAAAGCTAAAATAAACTAGAAATAAGCTCTACCAAACAGGGCCTAACAACTAAGGATATTTTTTATATTTCACAGTTCTATCATATTACTCCAATATTATGTATTTATAGAAGAATTGTTGCATTTTTCAATCTTGTACTGTAATTCTTTCAAATCACAGTGAAATCGCAACGACGATGGACATAACTTTATTTTGGGATAATCAACATATATCTTTGTATTTTTTGTGTTTGATTTATATAATCATTTTATTTATGTTTGTATTTCGTGTCTTTCTAATCTTAGTTAAGGTGCATGAATTCTTTCTTTTTCTTTTTACGATGGGAAAAAGTGTCAATTCTTAATACGGCGTATATATTTGCATTATGTTCTGACATGTCACTGTCAATTAACCACTTGTATAAGGTTTAATTGTCAATAAAAAATTATTAAAATAAAACTTTCTAGAAAAATATTTTTTGTCTAAACAAATAGAACGTTAATGTCATACTTATAATAGACTATTCAACATTCATACCCCATAGCTCAAGATTCCAAGTCTTGGGTCATCGATTAAGAAAAATCTACCAAAGGAACAAATGTAGGGAATTTTATTGATGAAAAAGAAAGGATCAACATTTATTTAGAGGATTTCAATTTTTATACTATTTCTACCAATATTTTTTGTTTGAAATGAATCTAATTTACAAATATAGACCCAGAGCCATTAAACAAATTGAATAACAAATTATTTAAATTTAATTTAAAATTTGAATAAATTTTAAAATGTGTTGACTGAAAACAGATATGCCTCATATATTAATTGACTTAAATCAGATTTTGTTGTAAATTTAAATTTTAAAACAAGTGAAAAAGTCATGTATAGACTTTGAAAATTAAGCATATATTATCAATTTAATTTTACTATAATATGTATA